AATCTGGTCTGTATAGTTAGTTAATGAGCATGTGTATTTTTGTTCAAAGGCTTACTTCTTAATTATATCTTTGAGTTTTCAAGTATTGGTTTTGTGGGGATTTTGTTTGATTGGTTGGAGGATTTCATCACGAGCTGGTCTACGAGCTCGCCTTGTAACCAGAGGGTTCTGGATTCGAACCCCGGTGGGTGCGCACTAATGAAGAGTCCCAAACCAGGCTGACGAAATAGCTGGCTGTCCAGTACATCCTCAGGTTTTCCAATGGTTCTCTAGCTGATGTCAGCTCATGATGAAATCCTCCGACTAATCTTTGAGTTTTCAAAATATGTTATCTTGATAAACAATTGATCAAATTCGTATACTGTAACAAGGTATCTGACAGCCTTTAGTTTGTTTAACCATGCTTTGTTAACGGATTGCGGTAGCTAGCCCATCATATGCTCTGATGGTGTTCTCATAATTTTTGGTTACTAGATCCGTAACCTAATGTTTGTATGTAAGGTTTGAAGAAAGTTGTGTGCTACAGGCATACTCCCCGCTGTGATAATGTTTGAGTGCGTTGGTCGTTCCGCAGGAGAATACTCACTAACTATTCATGTGGTCTGGTGTTCGAGCCCTAGCACACCTTAACCTCTCTTGGCCGAACGTAAATCTGACAAGGAGGAAAGGTTGAGCGTGAGGCTAGCAACTCCACCTGGTGAAAAAATAAACACCTATGTCCCTGAAACTTCAAAACTCAAACCTGAAGCTCTATGTTCCCCTGGAAACGCACAGAAATGCAAATACAGAAACACTTATTCAATCATTTACTCACTAAGCAGCATTTGATGAAGTGACAAAATCTGTTTTTTATAATATGTAAGCTCAAACACCAACCTGATAGCAGATTTAATGAGAACCAGTGCAGAGTTTCTGGTATCCTTTTTCATATAGTTGAGCATCTTTGACTGTGTCTTAAATATTACTCAGTTTACTGTGTCTTTTATTCTTGTATGTAATTAGTCTCTTCTTTTAGCGAATTCCAGAAAATAAACTGTTGGATTTTCTGTACTTTTAAAATTCTTTGATTAAATCGCCTAGCACATTACTTTTACTTTTACCTTCAGTGCTCGGAAGTCTTGATAGAGCCTGCCTTACTTTAAGTAGTATATAATGAACTGATTGAGTTTCACTCAAATACTAATCGTTTCAAAACTTTTGAATAATATGCACTTGTTTAAGACTGCTACTTCGTGATAAGCTCACAAAGAATACTAAAGCTCATATCAGGGTTTTCTTAAAGTTGATTTTAATTATTCATCCAAAGTGGTTATTCTGTTGATATTAAATGGTTGGAGGCAATCATCAGGAAGCCTTGCTTGAACTAGATTTCGTGCTAGTTGGCACTCACCAGTCAGTAAGGGTTATCCGTAAACTTGAAGGAATTCATGACCCCCTCTTCTGAGATTCGAACCCGCGTCACTCAGTACTGCAGTCATAGAAGTTACCACTGAGCTATTCGGGCTGACGATTGGCCTCCTGTAGGACTGTACTGAATACTTCGATTGGACACTAGTTAGTAACTAGTGTGATGTGTCTAGTTCTTTGTTTGATGCAGACTGAACTCTATCAGTCAAGTTTTCAATGTACCCACCATTCAAGGTGGCTTACCATCACGTTGTACTGTGAATGGTTGATTAGTGGTTGGAGACAATCGGAAGGGACTTTAACGTGATGGTAAGCCACCTTGAATGGTGAGTACATTGAAAACTTGACTGATAGAATTCAGTCTGCATCAAACAAAGGACTAGACACATTGATCTAGTTACTAACTAGTGTCCAATCAAAAATGGTTATTCTATGTTATCTGACTTATTTTAATTTTTATTCAAATTTATCAGCTCATTATATTATTACAAATATTACAAATATGTGTAATTGAATTTTTTAGCTTTTCCCGTCGATCGCAGACACATCCAGTGAAGAGTCCCAAATAGGACGAAATGCGCATCCTGGATTCCACTGCTAGTCACCATCTACCAATTAAATTCTAATTACAAATATATAGTTGTAATCTTTGAATAAAGTATTGCTATTGCGTCATCATAAACTTTGTCTTGTCTTGACTTCGTCATGAACTAACTTCATTTGGAGATCACTGAAAACCAGGGAGTACAGAACAGCTGGTTATTCCTAGTTTGGGACTCTTCAGAAGTACGTACCCAAGGATATACCCCCCCCTAAGAGGTAAAACAAGGAACATTCAGGTTACGAAACCAAACTCGTTGACCATTTCACCACTTGAATCGGAATCCAGTGGCCCATGAATTCTATCATGTCAAAATTAAGCAGGTGCTCATCAAAGGTGGCGTTATATCACAAATTGGCAAAGTTAGAATTCATAGGTCATTGAATCTCCTCCTAGGTGGTCAACAAGCTTGATCTCGTAACCTGAAGGCCTCGGGTTCCACTTCTGGAGTCTCGTAGGAATTCACTGTTGAAGAGTCCCAAACTTAGACGAAACAACTGTCTATTTCTCCCTGATTTTCAATCATCTCTAACTGATTTCGATTAGTGACGAAACCTAATAAATGACCACTGGTCATCTGTTTTGCTCTAGTTTGGGACTCTTCATCAGTGAACCCCGACGACCACGCCAAGAGTCGAATCTGGGATCTTCAGATTAAGAGACCAAGTCTGTTGACCATTCAGCTACTGGGATTGGAATTCAGTGACCCGTGAATTCTTTGTCATTTTGTGATATAGAGCTACCCTCAGCCAATGTCTTCGATTAGTATACACTTCATCTTGACATGTTAGATCCCTCTGGTCACTACTTCTCACTACAGCTTCAAGGCATCCATCGATTAGGCGTCAATGAGCTGGAAACTGATTTTAAATTATGTGTTTTGTAGCGATTTGGATTATTTTCAGGGTTAAATCTCCGGTAGGGTCGTGGATGTCCACTTATGAAGTGTTCAGAACTAGAACAAAACATCTCTTCAATGCTCCATGGTTTTCAGTGATCCCGAACTGATGTTAATTCGTGATAAAATCTAGATCCAAATTTCTTCAAGTCCCTACAAAAAGCCAAAATGATCTTTATTTTATCAACACTATAATCAGTTTGTTATAAATAGATTATAGAACTGGTTTATTTACAATTAGAAGAGAATATTTAACAAGTTATCTTTATGCAAATACTTTCATATCTCAATGTGTTTGCGTTTAGTTAATGTATAAATAATTATTCGTAGTATTTATCCCATGTTATGTCCTATTTTTGGTGTAACATGTATATTTTTATAAAAAGTAAAATTGTTAATCAGTTAAGTAATTATTCATTATAGTTAAGTAGTGAAAAATTGATATTTCATGGCCAAAACAAGAGGTGATTCTCCACATTAGTATAAAAGGAATGCAGAAAGAATGAACTCTAATGTCTTATGAATTTACGTAATGACATAAGATACTTTGATTTTAACTGGCAGCCATTGACTAGATTCTTAGCTTATATTACTTGCTTCCACTAGTCTACCTTTATCAAAACTAACTCCCAGTGAAACAATATGATTATTAGACAAGGAAGACAAGGAAGCTGACTGACAAGATTATGGAATTTCTTCCACCCACTGAGGTGGTATACACATGTACAATGCATGTGGAACCTCAGACAACCTTAATTAAACGAGTTAGCTGGAGTAAAATTAGGCTGGGAGAGAGACGTGGTATGATCTTAGACATTCATGTACGTCACTAGTTAAGTAGAAAAGTCTTCCACAATTACACATCAGGTCTGTGTCTGATTCCCAGCCAACGCACCGCTTAACCTCACTTGGAAGGTGGTAAAGCCATGAAAGAGAACAAGTTCAGTGGGAGGTTAGCAGTCGCAACCTGTGATAACACCACTAACACTACCACCGCTACTGAAACCCCACAGCCCAACGCTAGAAGCCCTATGTCCCACTTGGAATGTAAAAAGTATTTAAATACTAAGGGTTTTCTTTATTTCGTTTAAATCCTATGTCAGGTTACTGACTGCGAGTGATTGAAATAGCCATTGTTAGAATTTTAAAAACTTCTACTATTAAAGAAAAAATAAACAACCGAACTATTATAATAGTCTTAGGACTTAAAACCTTTCGCTTACTGACTTGATATTCTGCCAACCAAGCCATAAGAACCAGTGGCTAACTAGACCCAAATTTCTTTTTCGTTTCTGGAAGTCCTGGAATCTCACTGATCTTGCTTCAGACTGTTTATCCTTATGGATTCGAACTAAAGCTATCTCAAATGTCACAGACCTACGTCGTTATTTCTAATTCATATTAATTTAATAGTTAAAAACATCATCATAAATAAGAGTGTACACATAATAAATAGATATTTGTCATAATAATTTTCGTTTTCAAGTATTGGTTACAGGACTTCATCATGAGTTGACATCGGTTTGAGGACCATTGGCCAGTGGATCGGGTCCCAGTGGCTTAATGGTCTGCGAGCTAGTTCATCTTGTAACCAGAAGGTCCTGGGTTCAAACCCTGGCTGTGGGTGCGTACTGATGAAGAGTCCCAAACTAGGCTGATGAAACGGCTGTCCAGTACTCCCAGGTGGTTTTCCAGTGGTTCTCTAGCTGATGTCAGCTCATGATGAAATCCTGTAACTAATTTTCATTTTGAATTTAATTGGTGGATGGTAACTAGCAGTGGAATCCAGGATGCGCATTTCGTCCTATTTGGGACTCGTCATCCGGACGTACCTGCATTTCAACAGGAAAATCTAAAATTCAATTAATTTTTATTTTGTTTTTATAGTGAATATATACAAACAAGTGTTCCTGAAGATTACTTTCTTGTCACTTATATAAAACAGGGCAACTTTTAGTTCTGTCTATCTCTTGTGAACAATGAAATTTAGATAAGAAAAATATGTTGATAATTGTTTTCATTTATATAAGTATTATGCTGTATAAATGCCCTGGATACTGATGAATGTTTCTGTTGTTTGTTTTTTTGTTTAAGGCTGAAAATGTATTGTTACGTCAACCGTATCCATCAACTGATGTCTTTCTAACAGACTTTGGTCTAGCAACTGTATTAACTGAAGGGAAACAACATCGTGAACTAGCAGGAACACCAGACTATGTTGGTAAGTTTATTTCGTAATAACACTGTTCAATATGAATCGAATACTACTTTGATATTTTATGACAACTTATTCTCATGTTATAAGTATATAGTGCGTTGATGTATGACGCCTAGGATTTTCTTTATAAAGTTGATTTCATCACTTGTTTTATCATTCGTGAACACGATTTTCGTTCGTGACACTTATCAGTTTCATTGATGCAGGTGTAGTTCGTTGACTGAATAAGGTGATTTTCAATCAATAGATATATAAACTCTAAGTTTTAGTGTATTTAATTCAGCGTAGATAACCATATAGGACCTTGACCTCTCATATATGCAATATGCTTTAAGGCAAAAAACTGCAATCGACGACTGAGTTATGCCTATTTTCATCAGTGTAAAATCACCTAAAATGCTTACATTGAGGTACTTGTGTGTAACAGAGGGGGGGGGGGGAGGTAATCGGTGTGTTGAGCTAAAATTCTGTCATCCACTACATAAGAAAGCTAAGTCAACTGCCTCTATCTATCTAACAACCAAGACAGTTATAACGTTGTTTTATAAAATATTTCTCTAAATACTTTTGTTAAAAAATTGTAACTAGGAATAATTCTCACGAATAACCACAAAAGTTATCTCATCAGAAGACAATATATCACCTAGTGTATTGTTGCTCTTCCCTTGTTGGTATCCTCTTAGTAGGCGGCGGCCTGCTTGAAACTTGGGCAAGTTCCTAGTAAACTTGAGGAATGGCCTGATTGTGAGTGGCAAAATATCCCAGTACATGAAATAACTGTTTTTTAGTTATGTTTCTGAGTCTCAAAATGTACTTCTGGACATCTTACAATTGGCTCTCAATTAGATGTCATGGATTTCTTGAAGGAGACAAAGCAGATAGGTATATCATAATGGAATGGTTTGTGCTTCACCAGCTCAGAGACCATTGTGTCATAGGATATACTGTCCATTAATATTTTACTTGAAGATATTTTATGAGGGGAAAATGTCATGCAATAAACTCCTCTGAAAATTGTGTACATTTTACAATTACTGTTCAGAATTAGGATGTTATTATTATTATTATGTTTACATCTAATATAATTTTGTTTCTGCGTATAACCCCCTAAATTAGCTGATGCTGCTGGCACATACATCTACAGAAGTTAGTAAAAACTCCTGCGTTACAAAGGAGGTATCTTTAAAGATTCCATAAGTAGCATTACTGGGTGGCTATCAGCTAAATTTTAAAATTTTATATATACCGCCAATATTACGCAATCCATACCCATTTAATTGACTTGAACACGCTTTATGTCATCTTGTAGACTACATTAATAAAATAACCATTAATAAAAATATTACAGAAAAACAGTCAGGCTTATTTTACTGCAGCTTGACCTTGTAACAAACTTAAGAGGCGGTAACTGTAGAGATGGTAAACTAATTTCAAAGTTGCAACACATACTTACTTCTTAACAGAATATAAACAGAGTACTCAACAAATTTCGTCTGCTTTCAGAATTCGAGGTTGAGTTGATGAATGGCTAGCGCCCCCATCATACACAAGTGCTTAAACCTAATACCTAATGTATCATTCGGCCCATGTATTTTTTCCTATGCATTTCGAGTGGAACGTAGGGCTTCAAGCTTGAGCTTTGAAGTTCCAGTGACAGTGGTGTGTTGCTTTTACGGAATGCGGTTGCTAAACTCACATCCAACTTTCCTTCTCTGTCAGACTTAATAATAATAGTAATAATTTGCTTTATTCCAGAACAGTAATTGTGATACAGAATGGAATTCTCAGCATTTCACTACAGTATTGCATCCAGTTTGTACATTAACAATAAATAAAATTCTACATGGATTATGGGTAATCTCAGTTAGTTTTGATAATAACATTAGCATATCGGTAGCAAAGCCAAAAGTGAACAGAATGTTTGAAGGTGTTAGAAAAGTAGATACTAGCATATTTACTGGCGTAAGCTGTAACGAAAAAGTCGAGATATTCAGAGTGTGAAAGAACGAAGGAGAATGTGTTAAGTAAAGTTTGTAAGAAACAGAGAAACAAAACAGCACATAACAAAAAAAGAGAAAAGGAAAACAAAGGAAGAAAACGTTGTACCTATAAATGATATGAGTTGGAAAGACGAGATCCAATTGTTCTACTGACTATTCAATAAGTTATAAGTTTCACGCCTAATGCTTTCCTTATCACACAGAACACGAGCTAAGTAGGGTATGGTTGAGTTTTTGTACTTGCCAGTGCGAGCATATAGTTTCCTATATAGGCTTCTGGTTTTGCCTGATGAGATACAAGGGGAGAGTTGTGAATGAAGAGGGTGGTGTGAGTTAGATAAAATGGATTGTGCCCATTTTTCACATGAGTCCATGTGCCTGTCAACCAGAATATTAACAAGCTGGTTAAGTGGCACGTTGCTTACCCTGCTGACAACCTTTAACATCCTACTTCCGAATAAGCAAGATTAAGGAGGGGGTTCGGAATCCGGACCCCATGAGGCATAGTTGCCGAGTATTCTCCTTTTGAACCACCAACGCGCTCGTTGGGCCTCACTTTGTAGATAATTTTAAAAACGGGTCTCCAGGAATTTCGTTCTACCTTTGGTAACCGCTTTTGATTAATTATATCAATTACATGACACAACTCTATTACTCAATATTAGACTGCTATGCATTATGATAAGTGCGTTGGTGGCGCAGCGGTAGAATGCTCGCCAACTACACTTCATGTGGTCCGGGATTCGATCCTCGGCCAACGCACTCATTTATCTCACTAAGTCAGTAATAAGACTGGTAAAGAGGGAGGGGTGGGGATGAGGTTAGCACACCCATCCAGTAAAAACAAACACAACTGCTAATGAAACTGCAAGCTTCTAGCCTGAAGCCCTATGTTCCACTGAGAACGTACAGAACTTTTGAAAAAATGCATCCTGAGAGATATAAATATTATTATGTAGCCTTTGAAGACAACTTTGTTGGTAAAGAAAATTACCTTCTCTGAATTACCTTATTTTCTCTTTGATTAGATTTAGTATAACTGAATCTTAAAGATTGATATTTCCATTTAGGCCTTATATATATATAAGGCTATAAAATAAAGGTGGTCCAATCTATTGGCACAGATTACGAATTACTGCTGCAATATAAGAACATAAAACACTTGTTTATCTAATATTTTATCTACAATCAAAGGAATTTCGCTTTATTTATTTATATATTATCAAACTAAAGTGCGTATTTCCCCTACTGCATGAAAGCCATTACGTAATAATAGTCAGTAGAGTAATAATGCGCCTAGTAGTAATATAGATCACACTTTGAACCATCTCCACATGCGGTTACCTTCCTTTTGGCTTTTGTTTTTGTATTCTCCCCTGCTGCTAGGTTCCTATTTATAGATTTCATGATCAAACAAAGCGTTTACTTCTCTTTTATGAAAAGAAAAAAAAATACTAAACAAGTTAACTTCAAAGTTTTTCAGCTAAAACAAAAAATAAACAAACATTTACAAGATAAAAAGTTAGATAAATTTTTTTCGAAATTGTGAAGACAAAAATGAAAGTGGTTTTGTATTATGTAATTGTCCACTATCTTGAAGTTATCTAACCTAGAAAATAAACTTCAAACTACGCGAGGAGCACTTTCAACAATGTTAGTTATAATAGCGAGAAGGGAATTTACCTGTGGTGATTAGATTATCATTAAATGTTCTTAACTAAATAAAGATGATTTTAGATGAATGTCAAACATACATGTATATATATAATATTTTTAAACGCCTTTAAAGGTTTCCTCTTATTACTGGTGTCTTTTATATGTGCTAGTTTACGGAGTTTCTACCTTTAGCATTCAGGATTATTTACCCTACGCAGTGTATGTTAAAATTCACTTGATCATGCTACTGACCAAATAAAAAAATAATAGAGAAGATTTATAACTCAGGTGAATATGATTTTGATAATGGGGTGTACTGCCTGAGCTGGGTTTGTTTAATTCTGAATTGTTTCATTGTCTCTCTAGACAGCATCTTCAGTGTAAAACTTCACCGGTATGGAGTGAAACTTAATAATTACCCTAATAAATTAGTCAGGAAAAATGTAAGGAAATGAAAAAATAAAATAAATAATTTCATACATTTGGTTCCCTTGATAAATTTCGATCAAGAAAGAAAGACCAGATTTGCAGTATAAATAACGATAGTAGCGCGGCAGTGATAATAATAATGATAGTGATAATGGTGATAATAATAATAGCAATGACGACACCAACAATAAGGAATCTAAATCATCAGTAGTAATTCCATACAAGGAAGGGACCTCAGAAACCTTACGCAGAATTCTAAACAAAGCAGGAATAAAAGTGGTTGGTATTCAAACCCACAAACTCAATTAGAAACAAGCTTTGTCAGTTAAAAGACCCTGTGGAGCCTTTAAAACGAAACAGTTTAGTTTATCTAATACCCTGCTGGAATGATTGTCAGGTCAAATACATAAGGCAAAGTAGTAGAACGGACTCAGTCAGTTAGACTAGTGGAGTACAAAAACCTAGCGAAATCTAGGTTAGTTGACCCGAATAAGATAAGAAATCTAGAGAATAGTTCACCTATAGCACTACAAGCAGTTACCATACAACCATTCAATAGGATGGGAGAGATTGATAACACGAGCTTTGTTTATCGAATCAACTGCAAACACATGTAATAGAAATGATTCAACACCTGTCCATCCGAATATCGGGAAAATTCTACTACCCCAACGACGACAAATAGGAGAGGACAAAGAAAACTACAAAACTCAAGTTTCAAAGTCGTGTGATTATAATTGATATGATTATGAACGATAATGAATTGTGTTCGAAACCTTGTCATCCAGTAAATAATAATACTGTTTCACTGTGTGATACACCTAATAAACAAACTAATATGGAATTACTTACTACCACAGTGCCCAAGTTTTACACATATATTGGTATGGAGTGAAGTTATTATGAATTCTCATCACG